CATGTTCATGCTTCTTACATTCCGTGTTCCCACTGAAATTTTGTCTTTGCAGCTTTGGATTTTCTTTCCTGCATGGCAACATCAGCAACTAGACATCCTGAAGGCTTTAATCGAGCCATGTCATAAACACCATTAGTACTCCAAAAGATCCTCAGCTTTCCCTCAAAGGTTTGTTGACTGTCATCTGATCTGAATGGCACATCATCTGGCACTATACTCTCAATCATTTTATATTGTCTATCCTTGTGGGGTTTTTTGGTAAAATACAAGAGTGGTTTACCATTGCATAGTCTTGTACAGTATGAAATGATGCCTTTGCTGATGTCACTAAAGTGATTATCCACTTCCATCATCTTCCTATATCACTTCTGCCCAATGTAAGTGCCTTCTTGGTTTAGCTGGGCATCTGGGATGACCTTCACACCTTGGGAGAATCTGCTGGGATTGTATACTCTTGGAATACATTTCCAGTGTTCTTTGCTCATCCCTTTCATGAATGCCACCCCACCCCCCAGGCCACAATGAGGCAGTACAGTGGGAGTAAGGTGGGGGCGGGGGAGAGAAGGTAAATGTATTAGCATTGCTTTTTGATATCTCATTTAAGAATTTAACCCAAAGGACCTATCTGTAATGTCACCACACTTAAGAACCCAGCAAGGTTTGATGAGAACTTAGTCTTAGGGGGAGTCTTTAGCATTGCATTTTGTGTTTTCCTAGCTGAAGATGTAGCTCTTCTACCTTCTGAAAACTCATTCATCAAAAGCTAATTGATGAGGGACAAACACAATGTTTTTTTTAACACATTATAATTGCTAAATGATGAAGTTCTTGTAATCTTCTCACCTGTAACCTGCATCTGCATGGCCTCCCTTTCCTCCATCCTTCCTTGCCTCATCTTCTTTTAAATCTTACATCATCTTAATCATTACATACATCTGATGAAGTGTGCTAAAGCTCATAAAAGCTTGCCTTAACAAGAAGATTATTATGGGAAAAAATACTACCAGACTTCTGATTATAGTTTCTGCAGTTCTCCAGCCATGCAGCCACACTTTTTAGGAAGTGTGGAGCTGAGGAATCACTTTATTCAGCTTTCATAGAGCCTTCATTGGGCATAGACAAGGTCATATCACAGTTAATTTTGCCTGTACTGAGCTCTCCAAGGTCCTGCCAGTGCTTTGTTAACACTAAATCTCAGACCTTTGTTCTCCACTTCCTGTGAATATCTAACCTTAGCTATTTTCCTTAAAGGCCTTAGGTAAGGATGCTAGCTAATCCAGCAACTTTTTCTTGCAATTATATGCCCATAAGAAGTCCATAGCAGCACATAAATATAACACATTCCTCACTCAGATATACAAGCAATAAGTATTCCAAGGCATAAATTTCCACTACTTCCAACTACAAATATAAGTCCACATCATTGTCTTGACAGATCCAAAATTATAGTAGTATTAAACAAAATGGTATTGATAACTTTGACAACTTTAATAAAAAGAAAGAAAAAAACTTTATGTACTTCAAATCACTCAAGTATCTATCTCTGATATGTTCTGCCCATCTCTATTCTAGGTCATTCTTAAGTGACCTAGACATTGAGGTCATTAGATCTGGCAAGTTTGTTTGATAAACTGTGTGAGATCTTTAAAACTATGTGCAGCAGCATAATTCCCTAAATTTGAGAAACACAATGATTATGTAGTATTTTTTTTATAATAAACATTTGAAAATGGCTTCAATAAAACCTTTACATGGTATTTGTAGCCTTTCCTAAAAGCTGTAGGGATGCATTACCACAGAAGTACTCATACAAACCTAAGAGATAACTATATATATATAAAAAATAGAAAAGAAGCCCTGCTCTTATTTCAGATTAAAGTGACAACATAGCTTTCAGCTGCTATGGAAACAGATAATTTAAACTACATATGCTGAATCCTGAGGTGAATTAAATAGTGCAAAGTTCTGTTCCAATGATATTTTGCTTCTATAATGTTAAGGTCTGGATATATGTTTTAAGGAAATAGCATTGAAGGACTAGATCTTGTGTAAAAGGATTAAGAGCATGTCTACCTGAAAATTTCATATTAAACTAACTGATATGTACTTCCAGGTAATAAAGTGTGTATATGATTACAGCCCCATTAAGATATTAACTTTGGCTTTATATGTATTTATTTTCCTATACCAAGCAACGATTTAAATACGAATTTTTAATTTTCTTTATCATTTTATTCGTATTTCTCTTATTCAATGCAAATAGATTCAAGACAGCCAACAAAAAGTTACAGATACTAAAATTATAACTAAAATGTCTTATAGGCATTAAAAATTATAGGCATTAAAAATGTCTAGCAAAGAAAAATATCTCAGTAAGAAATAAATGCACCTATCAGATGAAAAAACTGTCTCATAACAAACCAGATTAAATACAAAAATATAAAGCTGACTAAAATGTCTTTACCTTCCAGCATTTGGTTTCTGCAAAATACTCCTGTAATTGCAGTAGGTCCAGAAGATCATAAATGCCCCACTGGGAGAGGGAGTAGTTCCAGCCTTTTAAACAGTAATATGAAAGACCGCTTCTGAAGAAACCAAACAGGACTGAGAGGATGAAAACAACTACAGGCCTGTGGTCAACATTCCCTTTCTAGGCAGGTGTTGACTGATAAACTCCAGGCTCTCTTGGATAAAGCTGATGTTCTGGATCCATTTTAATCCTGTTTCAGGCTTGGCTATGGAACAGAAACTACCTTGGTCACCCTGTGGAATGACCTACAGTGGGAAAAAGACAGAGGGAGTGTATCCCTATTGGTCCTCCTGTACCTTTTAGTGACTTTTATTATCATTGACCTTGGTATCCTCCTAAACAGGCTGTCAGAATTGGATATGAAGGCATTACAGTGGTTCTGTTCCTACTTGGATTACCATTTCCAGAAGATGGTGCTGAGAAATTACTCTTCTTCCTCATAGTGATTGGGTTATAGAATCCTTCATATTATGTCCTATGCTTCTTAACATCTACATGAAACTGCTGGGAGAGAGCATCTGGGGATTTGGGCTGAGGTGCCATCAATATGTGGATGATACTTAATTATATTTGTATTTTTCATCTACACATGCAAGGTGGTTGGCATTCTGAACCAGTACAGGATAATGGACTGGATAAGGGCCAATAAATTGAGACTCAGTCCGGACTATATGGAGATACTGTTGTAAGTGATGCATCTGTTCACCTGAGTGATGTCCTGTCTTGGAGGAGTCTGCACTCTCCCTAAAGGAGCAGTAGGTTGGGGGTGCTCCTAGACCCATCATTGTCACCAGAGGACCAGGTGGCCTCAGTTGCACAAAGTGCTTTTCATCAGCATCAGCTGATTTATCAACTCTGACCTTACCTGCACAGAGACAGCTTTGCAATGGACATTCATGCTCTGGTAATTTACTGGTTGGATTATGGATTAAAGCTTTTACTACTTTATATCTCAATACAAATACAGTATTAGCAACTAGAAATGTTATTCTGCCCCTTGCCTCCTTTCCAATCAAGAAAAGAAATGCTTGAAATGCTTTTTTAAATTGGCTCCATTATGGTTTCATACATAAAGTCCCTGGCCCCATTTTTTGATGTAAACCACACTACAGCCACAGCTTTGCCTGGCCTCTAGAGCCTCTCTGGTAAGTGGCTGCAGTTATATAAGGGTGCCAACTGCACAGAATCATAATCAGCTGTATTTCCAGCAAACATGTCTATCTCTTATGCAATGGCATCCATAGGCTGCTTCAGAAAAGTAAATCAAGAAATGAAGAACCAAACTGTCATATCAGGCAGGGAGGAAAAGCAATGCATATGGCTCTGAACTGGCAGATGGATGGGACGGAGGAAGGGAGGAAGGAAGGAAGAAAGGGAGGAATATGTAGAAAAACATGTCAAAGAGTTTAAGCGTGTTGTCAATCCTGAGAATGTAATTGTGTTGAGCAGGAAATTTTCTAACTAATTTTTAGTTAGACTTTTTGGAATTGGAGTCAGTAAATAGCTATGTTAAACCTATTTGGGCTTTAATGCACCTATTAGTGATGTGAACTTGCAAGCTTATGCTCCAGGAAATGGATAGGAGTCACATAATGCCCTGTGGGAAGGTATTCCCTACCTGTACTATAGCCTAAATATAAATAGGGGAGGGAATCCTGCAAATTAAATCCAAAACTTCCTTATAGGAAAATCGTGTCTAGTAATGTTTAATTTTCAGCAGAGTTTATCACTGAAGAGATTACTTCAAAATGTCTTTATTTTGTCACTAGTTTCCTCTGATATTCACATATCTAATTTCAAAAGATGAGTGTTTGCCAAATTTAAAAGTATGTTACTTAATATAGTTATTTTAATCTTGCTCATGTTGCAAAAAAAAGAAAAAGAAACAAATATTTTTCATCCAAGATGTATTATACCTAAAAGAAAATTTCTGTAGGCTTTCTACATAACTATATTTTACTTAACTCTGGTCTACCTGTTTTGGTGATTATCTTTTCTATAGCTATGGTCTTTATTTTCTCAGATTTACAGGAATAATTTTAAAAACTTGCATTAAAGGGACATTTTCTACTTTATTCTGAATGCTACTTCAGAAAGTTCTTAACTTTCTTGAAGTTTGTCCAAACTTACTTACTTGTTTGTTCATTCATTCATTCATTCATTCATTCATTCATTCATTCATTCATTCGATTTATATAGCCACCCATCTCACTTTTATGCAACTCAAGGCAGCCTACAATAAAATAAATAATATACATAAAATAAACAACATAAAAAAATTATTTATTTATTCAATTTATATGGCCACACATCTCAAACAAGTGACTCTGGGCTGCGAACAATCATAAAATCAATTATAACCAAATTACACACACAATACAAAAGAAAATTAAATATATGCAGCAGCTGAGAAAGTTATAATCCATAGATGTTAATATAACCAGGAAACAGGGCCTTAACACACTCAGGACCCCAGGGCCAGGCACATAACCAAGTCTTCAAGGCCTTACCAAAGGCCAACAGGGTCAGGGCCATCCTAATCTCTGGAGGGAGAATGTTCTAGAGAGCAGGCACTATGGCATAAAAGGCATGCCTCCTAGTTCCCACCAACCATCATTTCTTGGCTGATGGGACCGAGAGCATGCCCATCCTGCCAGACCAAACTGGATAGGTAGAAACAACTGGGACAAGATGGTCCCTCAGGTAACCCAGATCCAAGACATGAAGGGCTTTAAAGATGATAACTAGCACCTTGAATTGCACCCAGAAACACACTAGCAACCAATGCAGCTCACGAAGCAGTGGTGTTACATGTGCCGAGTACCCAACACCATTTACTACCTGTGCAGCTGCATTCTGCACCAGTTGATGCTTCTGAATGCTCTTCAGGGGCAGCCTCATGTAGAGTGTGTTGCTGTAATCCAGACAGGAGGTCACAAGCACATGAGAGATAGTGATCAGAGCCTCCTGGTCCAGGAATAGGCGCAACTGGTGCAGAATACAAAGGTATGCAAAAGCCTTCTTAGCCAAAGCTACCACCTTCTTTTCCAGCAGGAGCTGTGAGTCCAAGAGGGCCCCTAGATTTCACACCAGGTCCATCTGGGACAGTGCCCCCATCCATAACCAAAGGTGGAAAAACTTAGACACCTGAAGGCCCAAGTACTCAAAGCCATTCAGTCTTGCTTGGGTTGAGCCAAAGCCCATTGCACCCCATCCAGGCCCCTATAGCCTCCAGGCACTGGGACAGGACATCAATGGCAAGGCCTTACAAAAGGCCAATGGGGATGGGACCAATCTAATTTCAAGGGGGATGATGTTCCAAAGGGCTAGTGCCACAGCAGAAAAGACTCTCCTTCTGGGCCCTGCCAACACTTCTTAGCTGATGGTGGCCAGAGCATGCCCCTCCTGCCAGATTGGGTAGGACAAGTAAAGATAACTGGGGAGAGAGAGTCGCATAATTAATCTGGTCCCAAGTCATGAGGGGTTTTAAAGATGACAACCAGCACCTTGAATTACACCCAGAAGCACACTGGAAGCCAATGCAGCTTGCGAAGCAGTGGTGTCACTGTATTTTACTTGTATATAAATGTTTAAACATTGGCATATTAAAATATAACTGAGATACTATGTGTCATAGTATCAATAAATATATAGTTATACTGAAACTGAGATAATTGCTTACATACTCTTGCAATGCCTATCATCTTTGGGGAACGGAGCTAATTTCTCCTCTACTCACAAATTACAAGGACTGATTCCAATAGTCAAATGATTTGGACCACAAAGTCTCTAGCAAGATGGCTAAATGTTGTGCCAGAACAAGGGCAGTCAGAAACTGTTGGGCCTGAACACAATACACGTGCTCTTAACTCCTGCTGCGAATAGGTTCTTTAATCCCAGATAATTTGTATTTCAATCTTGTTTTTTTTTTCTTCTATCTTAATAACTGGAAGAAAAAATGATCCTTCATTCAAGACTTTTTCTTGTGTTTTTGATACCGTATAATGTAAATTAAAATTGTGCTATTATTTGTGGGAGAAAAAACCCATTGTCAGACACTTATCAGTTAAAAAAAGTGAGTTGGCACTCCATGTGCCCCAGTGAGCAGGTGTGCTAAAGTATAAACATCACGGTGTTGTGAATTCCATTTAGAAAACAAAACAAAACAACATAGTCTATATATGGAATGGAAAGAATAAATTATATATCTGTGTTCTTTTAAAATGTTTGTTATATTGCTTAGGGCAATATCCACCAGCCACAACTAGTAATTATTCTAGTTGTTGTGGGTCTGTAAAATAAATCACAGTAATGTTGCTTACATTGACTAGCAGCTCCTTCCCCCCCTCATCCCTCATCATCATGTTAATTGATCTTGAGCTCATTAAAAAGTCACGGCGATGAGCAGTCAACAGGAAAAAAGAGTCAGGCTTTTATAAAGCGCCATTGTTAGATACGAAATCATGTGCTATGGCATATGGTATCATACTGTAACTTTACAGATGGCAAATGACAGCTAGAAACAATTGTGCTGATAGAATGAGCAGGAAGAAAGGAGAGCAAGCTAGGGGTTCTTTTGTTGCCGCTAGGCATTTCCCTTAAATCTTGAAATCCTGTTCGTTAAAATAAATTGTATTTTAAATTAAAAATAATTGATTTTGTTCACAGCTGGCAATGCAAATGATGAAAATGAGTTTTCAAGGGGGTTAATTGCATACATTGTTCCGGAATAATGATGGTAAAGGGCACTTTAGGATTAACTGAATGGATGATCCCTGACAGGTATACCCTACTCTTGTTTGGAATAAAGGCAAAAACTTTTATTCTCACCACATTTCAGGTAAGTAGTTTATACAAAGAAGCAGATCTTTCCCGTGTTCACTCTCAGCATGCAGGAAATTATCCAGAGATCTGGCATAAAACTTCATTTATCTGTGATCTGCTCCCACCTTCTATTTTTTTCCATAAATAATTTCACCTTTGAATTGCATCTGCATACAATTGTTAAATTGGAAAATAAGCTAGTATATGTTTACCCAAAAGGAAGTCATGCTGTATCCAATAGAACTTACTTGCAAGTAAGTATTCATAGGACTGCATTTTAGACATAGGAAATAAGATTAGATTAGCAATGGTTTATTGAATGATATGTCTGTTCAGTGAACTATGAATGACTCTTAATTGTTTGTGGAGTCCTTGGGGTTCTCTGAGCTTGGCTGTTTTCTTGCAAATGTTTTGTTAGCTGGCTAGGTAACATCTTCAGTGCTAGAATGGAGTGGGGTTTGCTCTTTGTTTGCTCTACTGTATATAACAGA